ACTACTGGTATATATATTATGAATATACAGAATGGTTGATGTTCTTGTCATTTTGAAGGAGTTTTCTAAAACCTTGAACAGAGAAAACCCCGTTTTGTGTTTGCAGGGTATCAATTTTACACCATCTGGACCTCCAAAAGAATGGGTCGTCGTTGCAGGTTGCTGGCAGCAACTTGCAGTTGTGCCCAAACACCTGGGCTGCTGGGCTTGAAGCTGGCATGGTGGCGGCATGGTGGTGGTTTCCTAAAATGGGGGTACCCCAAATAATCCAAAATTAGATAATATTCGTATTGAAAACCATGGTTTTGGGGATCCCCCATTTCAAGACACCCCCATATGGTGGTATGATGTGGTATGCATCTCCGCAAATTCATGGCTGTAAACAATCCGTAAAACAGATACGTATTCCACAGAGTATGATGAGATCGGACACGAAGGGATTCATTTGTGGAATATTGATTCAATTAATGGTATTGAACAATAACAATATTATTCACTGACCATACATGAAGTATTCAAATATTACCCTCTGGTAATTTAACATAGCTATTGAAAATGACCATTTATAGTGGATTTTCCCATTGAAAATGGTGATTTTCCATAGTTATGTTAGTTTACCAGAGGGTAGTTCATGGTCAGTGAATGTTTCAGCCCACTGGAAACCCGACTCCCAAGGTGGGTTTCTGCAAGATGGGCCTGGCCTTGTCTCCTGATGGCAGATGTAAGACCTTCGATGAATCGGCCAATGGCTTCACCCGTGCGGATGGCGCTGGATCCATCGTGCTGGAGTTGGCCGGTGAGGCTCAAAAGGCCGCGTGGGGCGTGGGGCGGGCGTGGGGGGGTTGGCGATGGTGCGATTGGGGCTTGGGATGGGCTTCAGAACTGCTTTGTCAGGTTTTTCCATGGTTTCACAGAGGTTTTTCCCTGACAAACTCCCTCCATTCTTGGGTCCTTGGTCAAAAAAACCCAACGTTTTCCGAAAAAATGCCGCACCGAAATTCCCAGCATCGCCTCGCGCCAGAATGGAAAGCAAGAGCTGGCCATGGCCCTCGGAGTCTGTGTGAATCAGGTGCCCGCCAGAAAAACATGGGTATGTCTGAAAATGGGGTATACCCCCAATTATAGCCATTTAGTAGGGATAATGATCATTAACCATTGGGTGTAGGGGTACACTATTTTCAGACAAACCCACATTTGAAACTTGAAATCCATGTCGGAATTGGGATTAGTAAGATTTCTAACCATGAGGCTCAGGGATTGAGTGTGAGTTGATGCTGAAGAATTCCTCCACAAGCTGATTTGAGCCATTGACTCTTTGGCTGACCATGGGCCTGTGGGTTCTCTGTCCAAACAACTTATCTGGCAGTGAAATCAACATCCATAGGTCCGTCATATGCCGAAATATCCCGATGGACATCGATTGACTCATACTGGTTGGTGGTTTGGAACATGGCTTTTATTTTTCCATATCTTGGGAATGTCATCATCCCAACTGACTTGACTAATATTTTCAGAGGGGTAGGTATACCACCAAACAGTATTTCGTTCCCTTTTTGATCCTTTGCTCACACTACCCTCTGGTAAACTAACATAACTATGGAAAATCACCATGTTTAATGGGAAATGTCACTATAAATCACCATTTTCAATAGCTATGTTAGTCATAACCAGATTACTATTAACCATCATTAACCATGTAATAACCATATATTAACCATTATATCTACCATAATAACCATATATTAACCATTAATCATTACATATTTGCTGGAGAGAACGCTGGCGACCAGGACGGTCGCTCGGCGACCATTACAGCTCCCAGTGGCCCGGCGCAGCAGCGGTGTATCAATGCCTCGCTGCAGGCGGGGTTATGTCTAGTGGCTTTGATGATAAACCATGGAAACAGATGGAAACAGGAAATTTTTAGGTTTATTCAGTTTGATTCTAAGTTGATCCAACATCCAACGATGTTTCTTGATGTTTATTGTAGATATAATATATATATAATATTATATAATTATGTCTACAGCTGGGTTTATAAACCCACAGTCATGGCTGGGATGTACATCCAAGTGGGAGCCGATTTTTTGAGATAGGAATCAGGTAGAAACGAGTTTTTTTCGCTGGCAGGGAAGGCTGGGTTTGTAACTGATGTTTCCTAGAACTCTTGGGGGTTGTGTCTCATGATCCAAGTGGTACCTGGTGAGTTACAATAGCATCAATAGCTCAATGGCCATTCCAGGAACCTAAATTGGAGGTACCTACCATATATAAGGCCTATGTAAGGCCTATGTAAGGGAATATTCCCCCAAAATATGGCCTTATATGGTACAGTACCTCCATTTTAGGATCCTGAAATTCCCATTGAAAAGCTGCGACCCCCTTGATCCAAGTTGTATCAACTAATTTATATAACAAAGCAGGTGGGATATGATGGCAATGGATCTTGCTCGTGATGGTGATAGGAATGACACGAAGAATCCGGGCAAGACATGCAACAACAGGACCACTGCTTGTATCAAAGGAAGAGTAGTTAAACCATTCATGAACTACGCCATAGATGCTGTAGACCACTACATTGGCTCTCACTTCTACACTTGCCAGCGCCAGCACATTTCCTGCTTTTCTAAACTTACAGGCAAGTCCAGAGCAACAGCCTTTCTTTGCTGCCCCGCATCAAAGAACAAACATTGCCCGAATTTTCATCCTGTGGTCAGGGTGCTCACTTTTCAGGGATGCCAGAACTTGTTGAGTTTCCTGTGCAACACGAGCAGGATATGGGGTGATTCCACTCCTCCGGGGCAAACAAAAACTCACATTGCTCGAGAGATCCTCCAGCAGAAGTGTAGCATGTTACTGATCATTTGAATCATTTTTCCTCTTAACATCAAAATAGCCATCATAGATGTCCATATTTTTCCCATCTTTTTTCCCATCTTTTTTCCCATCTTTTTTCCCACTATAAATCCATTGATCATTGGATTGGTTTCATTCGGAACAATTAGAGGAAACCTCCATATTTGATGATATCCAGTATAATCCCCATATCCAAATATGGATGGTACTGATAATCCATTGATGGTAAAAGCCATGGATTCCGGTTAAGATTTTTCCCAACACCCGGTCCGAACGCGGCAGGAAGCCTCAGCCAAGGGTCTGGAGATCTCCATGGTGGAAGTGCACGGCACAGGAGGGCTCCCAACTGGTGGATAAAAATATTTCGATATAACCAGAGATGACCATCAAATATGGGGATTATAGATGATTAATTCATGGATTATGTATGAAATAGATAGAAATATGGGGATTATACTGGCTTTAGATTATGATAATTATGATATATATATATAATATTATATGAGTATCTTTCTTGGTTCTTGGTTGACGGTAGTTGATGGCTTTGAATCCGATTTGCTTTGATCAGAGACTTAAATTTGGCAATGACTCCTAACGAACACAATCAATCTGCAAATACCCTCTGGTAATTTAACATAGCTACTGAAAATGGCTCATTTATAGTTGATTTACCTATTAAAGATGGTGATTTTCCATAGCTATGTTAGTTTACCAGAGGGTGGTTTTTGGAACCTGCGAAATGTTGTGATGGCCATTGATAGCTGCCCATTTCCTGTGAGTCTGTCTGCAGATCCACTGTTTCAGTGTTTGTCCAAACTCATGCATCCAACCGACATTTTGAAAAATCGAATTCGCTGCAGAATTTTATCATTAGACTATTGGACCTAAACAAAGATTGCCCCACTTAGCCAAGAAGGAAGGTCAGTACAGGTTTGTTCAAGCAATGCCAGCAACTCCGCAGGAACTGCTTTGGGAGATCCCATTGAGGTTGGTGGCATGTCACTTGGATTTAGATGTGATTACCACTTGACGACCGAGGGCACCACTTTTAAAGGGTGACCCCGTAGCTTGACCCATCCCCAAAATGGGTTTTCTCCCCAAAATGACCAGACTATTTTGACCCCTTAGCCTCCTCAGTCTTTGGTACACCCAACTTTTCATGGTGACTCGATTTTGTTGGCACAGCGACCGAGGAAGAGCACCCTGGGCAAGGGACGTTTGGACGAGAATCCCCTGGTGCTTGCTGCCACCAAGTCCATCATTGGTCACACCGAGGGTTCTGCTGGTGTGGCAGGCTCCATGCCTGAGGGTGGGCATTTGCGATCTTGCAGTTCTCTTTAAAAAGTGCTGTTCACTTTGAAAAGAGCGCATTGACATATCAAAATTCATATATTCATCTCCTTATGATTCAGTATTCAGTACATCAGTATATCTCATTATTTCTTACTATAGCTCATGATATATATAATATATTAATATTATTGTACACAATTTCACATCTGCTGAGTTGAAAGGCAAAGGCTAGTCACTGACCTGTTGTTTTTGATGAGTTGGCTTTCCGCTTTCCGCCATGGCAACATTTGAGCCAGGCCTTATCAAGATGATTGCGGAGTTCAACCACAGGACGGCGGGCCTTGCGGCCTTGGGGCCTTCAGTGTCAGATAGTGTCAGCAAGCTTGTGATCTCCTGACTTCGCAGGGTGGTGCCCAAGAACCTGCACTTGAAGAAGATGAATCCGAATATTGACCTCACGGATTTCCCTGCTGCCAGCCTCAATGGTAACGGATGATGACTGGATGTGGATGATTTGGGGCAGTGGTACAGGAATATGTAGGATGATACTTGGGGATTTCTCCGAGGTCTTTGTAGCGTTGCAGCAATAGAAGCAGACAGACGTCACGCCGAATGGGTGACCCCGCTCCAACTGAGAGCTGATGATTCTTTTCCCAAGTTCTTTGGAGTTCAGCTTCTCATCAATTGAGACATGTATGTCTCAGTACGTCACAGGGAGAAGCCTTTCACCTATCCACTGCAGAAACTTCAAGATCCAACAGATATGATATCATAGGATATCATATGGTCTAAGTGATCTGAGCTGGATGGTACTGTGCCCAACTTGGTGACATGGCGAATAGCGGACTTTCGTCCTTCTTTGACCTGTTGAATCCACATATTGGATGATCATTTCCTGTGAACATCATGTGAATTTTCCCCATTTTAGGTGGTTGGATGATGTTCAATGGCCATTTTTGTTGGTCACATTTGGTCATTTTTTCAGTACTTGTTTTTGGTCGACCCAATTATAGGACCTGCATTTGACATCCCTTCTGAACAGGTCATTATGCCTGGCAGCATCATCGATTGGACCACCACGCGTGCGATGGCCGGCACCTCATCGTTCGGCTTCTCGGGCACCAACAGTCACGGAACGTTGGAAGCACCGAAGAACGGTGAGGGAAGAGACGTGCCCTTGGAACGCCCCTTGGAATGCACTGGGCTGTGAGGCGGGTTTCCTTGAGTCCCTGGAAAGGGAGTGACCCAATGTTAGGAATGTACATAGTACATGACATAGTACATGACCTTGGAAAGTAGTGAAACCTTTCAATGCGATTCTCCCAAGAGTATGTATTTGTATCAGTACACAATTGATATCGTTAGTTCCTAAACAACATTACCACCAAGGAGGTACTAAGACATACGAAGACCAAGACGGACATATCTAAGTCTGGATGGACTCCTGTGAAAAATCGTGAGGTGTGGAGAAGCTCAAGTGGAATCGCACCACACATCGAATGTATCACGAATGGTCTCAGGGCTACTGGTTCTCCACAGAGCTTTGGCAAGCCAAAGATCTGCTGGCGAGATGGGGCGGGAAGAGGATGGGAATCCATGAGATTGAAAGTCTATGAAAGTCTATAGAAGAGAGTGAACTAATCCCATCTCCCATTCATCTTAAACAATCCCCAGAGTCACCATGGTGGATGTGGGGGATGAAACCACATATGACTGGGACTGGGACCATCATTCCATGGATGGGGGATTGGATAGGTTCGTTGGAAAAAAGACCTGCCCAAGCCACCTGCTATACAGTGATGTGGTATGCTTGTGGCTCAAACATGTCGTGCCAATTGACACCCACATTTCATAATTGTTAGTCATGTGGGTAAACCAATAATAAACCATCCCGCAAATCACCATTGCCATAAATTGGTGGTAGAAACCATTGCCAAAAGGGTGGTTTATGATTGTTTTACCCACATTATTCAAACATCCGACATGGTGTTTCGGTGAGCCGAGGAGTGGCGACCTTCACCACTGGGTGAGCAGAACTTGCCGGAGGCACTACCTTGTTCCTCGGACGAACGTGGTCCTGGGTGAGCCTTCAAAAAACAGCTGAGAAGGACTGGATTTGTAGCAACCAGGATGGTATAGATGATGGATTCCCCATAGATTCCAGGTTTCTAACTTTTCTGGGGGTTGCTATAATCGAGGTCTTCCATTTACAGTAGCCTCCAAAAAAAACCAAAAAGTGAGATAAAGGAAAATCCAACTGAAATAATAGTAGTGCATCATATAAACCTTTTCTATTCTGGCGGGTGATGTTCCATTTGTTTCTTTGTTTTTCCCCCCCAATGGTGGAGATGGAGCCTTCCCCCCAGCTTTCCAGGCCTTGTGATTGGGGGTGACGCTCTCGGTCCAGCTTTGCAGAAGCTGCTGGGAGAGGAAAGCCAGTGTGTGGCAGCAGGCACTGACAGGGCCGTGGTCAAAATGGATCCGCCGGAGACAAGTCTGGATGGTTTGAAGCAGAAACATATATGGACTTTTTATGGCCAAAAAAGATGTGTTTTTGTCACACGGACAGTTGGATCGACACGTGGATGGTCTAGCGGTTTTCCAAGAATGACATCCGCCAGTTGCGGGTCCATTGACACAGGTGAAGGGGCAGCAGCATTGAGTGCTGGCAGTTTCAAATCCGCTGCTTGGCTGTGTTGAATCATAGCCTGGAGTTCCTACCGTCATGGGAATGTGCAGCACCTTTTATATAAACAGGGGCTGGTACCCTTGGTCAAGAAACAGGCAACGGGAAAACCTACCTTTTTGGATATAGGATCATGATCTTCAAACGTATCTCTTCGCCGAGGCGATGTGATCATACTTTATCATACTTTATCATTGGGTTGAAGGCAACAAAAATCAAGAAACCCTGGGTAACATTGGGTAACCCTGTGGTTTTCTATGTTTTTCTCGGTGAAAACCTTGTGGTCCTGGAGTCCCCCCGTTCACCGTTCACCATGACAGGTGGTCTTCTTGGAATCGACCCATGCGGCCGATGCCACCCTGGAGGGGCCCACCTTGGCGCACCTGCTGGAGCTGTGTCAGGCCATGGCAGATATGCAGCTGGGCCAAAATTTCCAGAAGCCTTCGGAAAGGAACCAGGGAATACAGGGAGAATGCTGGCGAAGTTCTGCCAGTGCCAGTTTGGGGATAGAGCTTTTGTTCCAACAGGGCGATCCGTGTGTTGAGTCATTGGCACATTACATTCATTTACCATATTGGGAAATGGACACGCCAGACATCGCCAGCATGCATGGAGTTTGTGCAGCCTTTGTTGCAGGCGTTGCTGTTTGGAATATGTTCCCGACATGAGTATCCCTGGATAATCCTTGGATGGTGGATCCAGACAGGCCCAACATGGCTTAGTGCATGACCATGGCTGCCCACATCTTCAACTTGAGGAATCGTCTGCGACTCGTGGTGGTCACAGCCGGCGCACAGGACGTTGAACAGCACGGAGTTTTTTTTTTTTTTTCGGTCGTCGACTATCAACAACACATGATTGGGTTGAGATCACCGCCAAAACGGGTGGTGGAATCATAAAACATCATTAACAACATATACAAATCCGGGCTTGAAAATTGAATCATCCCCCTTATGATTGGTCAATCGGTTAATCTCCCAGTTTTTGTTGGTCAAATATTATGGAATAGCACTTTTTTCATTGTTAAATCAAGTAAATCATGTTCAATCCACAACTTTGGTTGGCCGATGTGTCCTTTTTGCTTGGCAAAATCTAGAACTTTTCATGCTTGAAGCCATCCCCCGATGTGTCCCCTGCCAAACGATGAGTGCCTTGTCCTAGGAGGCCGAAGGCGCCCCATCTTCCGCCATGGCGGTGGGTTTGCTGGGTGCTGCGGTCTGCGGCTTCATGCGCTCCATGCCCTTAGAGGCGGCCCAGCTGAAGACTCAGGTGCTGGATCTGTCCGGGGCACCCAGTTGGGCGCTAGGGCTAGGGCTTGGGGGATGCTTGGGGTGTGGGTTGGCTTTTTTCCTTGTTGTTTTTAAGTGAACTTGGAAGGTTTGAATTTTCGTTGGAGTTGGGGCGTCGGAATCCCTGGGCTTGAAACAAAAAGAAATAAGAAACTGGAGTTGTTGGCTCCCAACTTTGACGGAGAAAGTTCCGCCGGTCTGAAATAAGGCCGAGCTCTTTCGCCTCATCCCTGGACAGCTGGGCCCAGAAGTTGTCTGAAGAGTTGGCCTGCCAGGATGGACGGGGATCCATAGGTCGCTACTTCCCTGCATTTTGCCATGGGAAAGAGTGGGGAAGTTGCCTGGGTCATATCACAACAGCATTTTGGTTTGAAATCCAGAAGCTTTTGTTGGTGAAATCCACAAGCTTGATGGGTCAAATCCGCATGCCTTGCAGATTGAATCTCGATGTTTGTTGGTCAAATCCGCTTTCCTTTCAAGTTGAAACCCCGACTTTGGTTGAACTCTCCAACCTTTGCCCAAATTCGTCCCAGCAGGACCTTGAATCGGAGGTGGCCTTCCGCGGCGAGCAAAGGCAGGTCCCACGCTTGGCGCGCTTTGTGCTGAAGCCTGGGGTGCCTTGGCTGGGTGACGAGACATGGGGATTTAACGATTAAAGCATAGGGATTTGGACCCAACGGAAACCAACAGAAGGTCAAGAGAAGATTGTTTTTTTGGACTATATCAGGGTGATCTAACCGACACATATTGGGATTTCACCAGCAGAAATGGTGATTTAACCAAACCAGATTGGCCTTTTAACCAACAGAAATGACCCTCTGACCAACAAAAACCAGACCAGAACCGGTCGTCAATAGCCATTTGTTTCACAGGACTGTGGGAAATCGTGGGAATCATACCTGCTGCCCCGATGGACCACACTGCAGCAAGCCCCTTAAAAAAAATAAAAAAACCATGATAAACATGCACAGCCATGGTAAACAGTAAACAATATGTTAAAAACCGTGGCTTCCTTAAGTCAATTCCTTAAGTGAATCCATATGAAGAGAGCTTGAGACGTCGCCGTGCCCGGTGGAGGTCACTCTTCTGGATGACTTCGAATCCACTCAGCTGGTCACTGGCGGCCTGGGAGGTTTGGGCTTGGTGACCGCCTCGGCACTTTGTGCGCCTTGGCACGGAAGGCGAACCGCGCCACGCCGTCGAAGGGAACCGAAAGAAGTCCAAAGTGGTTTGGAGCTTCGTTACTGGAAGCAATGGCTTCGATTTGCCTAATTTTGATAGGTCACATTTCAGATTTCAGATTTTTTGGCTCACATCCGAAAATCATCCTAATGAATCATCCTAATGAGTCTATGAATCTATTCTGTTTTAGATTTTTTAGATATGGCGTTCATCAGGGGGGTGTTGATCCCACCAAATCTCCAAGGATTTGGGTGCCCGCAGTGTCCTCCTCTGCTCGCGTCGTGGGCAAGTGGCAGCTGGCGATGAGGTGGCGCACGACCTGTCTTGGAGTCATCAATTCCTCTACGCTCTGGTAAACTAACATAGCTATGGAAAATCATCATTTTTAATGGGTAAATCCACTATAAATGGCAATTTTCAATAGCTATGTTAGTCTACCAGAGGGTAGATGGGCGTTTTTCACAAAATAGAGGCTACCTCAACCTGTTTGTCTCCCAGTGAAAAATGACCAATTTTGCATGACCACCGTTGAAGGAAACCATCAGATGAACTTGCTTATACATAGCAGCTGGAATGTGGCTGAATTAAGAACATATCCAGTGATTTCCAGTGTCTGTGGACGCTGCAAACGAAAAAAGATTTGTGGACTTGGGTATGGGTCAATACCTATAGATACATTTTTAGTGGGATGAACATCCATAAATCCCAGCTATTTTGGGGTTCACTAGGTACCAGGGTTTTGACCCATCCCCACTTAAAGACTTAATGTCGTGCCAGAGATGGGTCTTTTTTTCTTTTCATGAGCAGTTGGTGATTTTCCCATCGCCGAGCCGTAACGAGGTTGCACAGCAGCAGTTGGAGGAGTTGAAAGCCAGGCCTGGTGTGAAGGTCACGGCTTGGGCCTGACGCTTGGCGAGAAGCTGCAGGAATTGGGGGCAAGCAGGACATCTTGGGATTTCACCAAGATCTAGGGGATTTTAATATGACTTCTATATGGATTTAATAGGGATGTATAGTAAAAGATCGGGATTGAAGATGATTTAACCAGCCAAAATCAGGGATTACATAAAAGTGAAACATTGGAACTCCAGATGAAATTAACAAGCAACAATAGGGGGTATAATGGTGGAACTATAGTTGATATGGTTGACTTATGTTAAGTAAGTCGGGCTATAACTAGACCAACTAGGATTCCTGGTAGCTGATTAGAAGGCCATCGAGGGCTTGGGAGGATCCTTGTGTGCTATCACCGTGTGGGGAGATGATGGGAGATGGACAAAAAGCTGCCCGTTCTGTAAAGGATTTTGGAAGAGATCATGACATCTGTAGGATTTCAAACCAGAGAACTCAACAAAAAGAGATGCGCCGAAATCCGGTCGCTACAGAAGCCTGAACTGAACCATTGTGGTGTCTTTTCTTGCCGGTTCTCGCTCTGGGTTCCCAGCACCACAGGGGTGGATCCTTAGCACTTGAGGTGACGTCAGCGAGGCGGCCAGCGTGACAAGCCTTGTGAAGCGCGTGAAGGATGAGCTGCCAGAGAATCCGCTGGGTGGAATTGCGTGGCTCGGCGAACTGCTGGGAGTGACATGCACCGGCGCTTTGTGAAACCACCATAAATCACCAGTTTGCACATTTTTCATATGTTTGATATAAGAAATCCTGCACCACCTTGGATGGTGGAAACCCTATAAATAATGGGATAAACCATATATCAACTGGTGCAGGATTTCTTCCATCCACAGTATGATTTCTTTGAAATTCCACGGGATTCCACAGGGCTTCCCGGAGCACCCTGGCTGCCCAGGCACGCAGCTGGCATCATCGACTTTGTTGAGTTGAAATCTCAGACGGCTGAGCGAATGGGCAAGGTCTTTAAGCCCAAGGCTGGGTCTGAAACTGGGGTTGAAAGGACACCGATATGTACATATATGTATATATAATATAACAATGATGTTGCTGGGTGGGGTGGGTTTATCTTGCGTTTGATGAATGATCAAAAACCAGCGGAGTTTGGGAGGTCGGACTCGTGACGAGGATGCTGAATATCCCTTCCGTCACCAAAACATTGGATGATCACAGCTTTTCACATCTGTGGCCCCCAGAGGATCTCAAGTTTTCACCTACCCTCTGGTAATTTAACATAGCTATTGAACATGGCCATTTATAGTGAGTTTTCCCATTAAAAATGGTGATTTTCCATAGCTATGTTAGTTTACCAGAGGGTACCGACATTCCAAACCCCCAGGTTGCACTGGGTAGCTCCCGTTTTGCTCCAGGTGGGAGGCGCCTGGCACTTGCACGAAGCAACCCAGGAGGACGCAGAATTTTGGGGTCCAGGTGGTGCTATGAGGTTTTGGGAGGATCGGGGGTTGAGGAGATGAGATGTTTCATGAAGATACTCAGAGTTTCAAAAGATGTGTCCAAACTTACAACGTAAAGATGGGTTTGGGGTTGAACTTTGGGATCTCAGAAATCCACCCAAAGTTTTTACATATAGAACTACTGTATATAGACACCTTTAGACCTTTTTGGTTGCCGCATGTTGTGGCCACAAGGCATGCCTGCAGGAGGCATCGCTGAAGTCCTTCCTGGGCTTCTCGTCGGTCTCTGCGTTGATCGGCCTCTCTCGGGGCACCAGCTACTCTGCCACTCAGCTCAATGAGCTTGGGGGCGCCAATGAGGAGGAATTAAATACGACATTTTGATTAGTGGGGGACCCAGAGATATTCAGGATAATCAAGCCTCTTGGCCCTTGTTCATCACAGACTTAAACACCCAAGTTCAATGCATTCTTGCAAGCTTCAACCATTTTCAACCCCGCATGTCCCCTCATCCTCATCCATTTTTCAGCCGAGGCTTCCAATGCCTACTTAGATGGCTTGAGTCTCTGGCGAACGGCCTCCAATCAGCCCTTCTGCAGCGTGCAGTGGGGTCCTGTTGCCGAAGTTGGAATGGCCAGCAAGGAGCGGAGCATGGGAGAAGTGTTGAAGGATTCCGAAGGATGTTTGAAGTTTTCCTTCTTTTTCTTCTTTCACTCATTTTGCAGGATCAGGACGGTGCTAGTGACAGATCCATCCAGCTTTTGCTTCATTGCCAGACTGATGAGTGTTTCTAGCAGCTAGCAGATCCGCAATGATGGTGTTGTGGAACTGCCGCTCACAAGGGATTTGTCCAGAATCTCATCAATTACCCTGTGGTAAACTAACATAACTATGGAAAATCACAATTTTTAATGGGAAAATCATCTATAAATGGGCCATTTTCCATGGCTATGCTATGTTAAATAACCAGAGGGTAACAATCATCTATAGGGTTGCCGGTTACTCTTTCATTTTTCCTATCATTAGCCATCATTAGCCTGCAAAAATCCATGGGTTCCCATGGCGTCCCTATCTATTTTTGACCCAAGCAGCATCCCATTCCGCAGCCGCAGCCTGTGCCAGGACCATGCAGGGCAGGCGGATTCCGCCTTGAAGCTTCTGCCACCGGGCCATGTGAAGGCTGCTGTGAAGCTGGCCCTCACAGGTCCGCTCCGATTTATCGCGCTGACTTCGCAAGGTCTTTAAAAATAATCCACAAATCACAATTTTTATAGGTGGCATATGGTGGTATAAACCATTCCCAAATGGGTGGTTTATGATTGTTTTACCCACATTAGCAACGTTGATCATTGTGTCGTCTCCATGGTCCATAATCAGGTGATCTCTGCTTGAGTAACTATAGTTGCGGTAGATACACCCATAGACGAGGGGTGAGTAGCGAACTCACGCTAAGTTGCTTGTGTCAGCGGCCATTTCAGGTACCCAAATTTCATCCAACGGAACGGATCCACACAAGATATGAACAACAATGGCACAGTCCCTCGAGTTTGGATACCTGCCATCGCTTATTCATACCTAAAAATCCATAAAAAGTCCTAAAATCATCTTGACTCCAACTGTCTGGTTTTTATCCAATCATCAAAAGTCCCCAAAATAGTTACCCCAGTGGCACTTGGTTTCCCTTTCATTTTTAGGGTCTTTTAACATTTTTAGCCAGCAGCCATCGCCAGGTTTCGACCATAAGCCCTGGCCGGTGGCGGCGCTCTGCTTCGCTAAGGCAGTTGGGAGCTGGGTGCTGAACGCATTGGAACAGCGTAAGTCATGAGTAGAGTCATAGATTTGAATAGATTTGAATAGTTTTTAAATGGAATTTAATCGATTTGAACGGAATTCAATCGATTTGAATGGGATTTTAATGGGCTTGAATAGGATTTTACGGACTTTCAATGGATTTGTATCGTGGGATTTTAATGGGATTTCAATGGATTTCAGTGGATGATAATCAGGGGTTGGTAAATGTCCCCATTAAACATCACCCAACTATCGGAAAAGTAATCTCCAGATACTTTTTCAGGTGAGGTTCAAAATCCCAGGGGACATTTGCCAAATTTGCCAACCTCTATATATCTTACTCTTCTGGCAGGCAAACATCGCACTGGCAAGCTTGCGAAAATCCCAAAGATGTCGATGATTTCCCTTCTGAACACGGAAGTCTTGCGTATGTTCCCATGCCATGGTTTCTTTGCTGGAAAGGGTCAGACATCATCGCCAAGAGTCATGGGCCAAGATGGGCCAAGCACCAAGCGTCAGGTGGAGTGGGGCCGCTTCCTACGTGAACTGGGTGCGGAGATTCCCGTGCTGCAAGACTTTGCGGGAGAAGAGGCCATGGGGCGCTGGGGCCCTGAGGGATGGAGCAGGTGACTTTTACTCGATTGTACTACCCTTTGGTAAACCTACAAAAAGCTATTGAAAATGACCATTTATAGTGGATTTTCCCATGAAAAATGGTGGATCTTTCCATAGCTATGTAACAAATTACCAGAGGGTACAACCTGACGATAGGTTTTTCAGGAATCTCATCGGTTAGATGGCCGAGTACTGAGCTTTGGAGGCTTTTTCTGCTGCACAAATAGCATCAAATAGCTGGATCCAATGGTTTGGGGCAATCTTCTAAAGACTCGAAACGATTTCCCAGCGCTGGTTCCGGTGCACTAGTCCTGGACTTGGATGTGTGGCTGACTACTGACTACTTCATGAATTTACTCACCCTAAAGCAGTCATCAAGTCAACAATACCCTGATAGGTGTGAAGGGCCTTCCCCTACACTAGGTAACCCTCGGTGAAGGGTGGGTCAATAGGTCACAACGAAGCGTTTTTGCGAGGTACGCACATGATCAACAGATATCTAAGATTGGCCGTGTCTAGCTGTTGTCTCTTACGATCTACCGTGCATTGGTCAAAACCAAGCACCCCAAGCAAGGTAAATGAAAGTCAGATCATAGTCTATTCCAACAGGATCCAACAGGGTACCAGGTTAAAATATGGTAAAATGATCTATTTTTGTACACGCATTCGGATCGCGCCCACTTACCACTTACACCATGAAGGCTACATAATCAACCAACAGCAATGGCAATTAATGGCAACTATGCTGACACTATTGGCCCAGTGGTCAATAAATTCAGGATGCAGATGTGGTTGGAGTCGGTTGGAGTGTTGTCTTTTTCTTCTCTGAACTGCCAGGAGGAAGGCGTATCCGGTGGTGCCAAGGGTCCCACAGTGCCTGCGGCTTTGAGGGGCTTGGATGCTCCAGAACTGGAGACGAAGATTGGGCAGATGGTTCAAGGTGGGCCCAAGGGTTCTCGAAGGGTTCTCGAAGGGTTCTCGAAGGAACTGGGTTGGAACGGGCTAGCCATTTTTCATCATCTTTCATGGGTATGGGTCAATACCTATAGATACATTTTTAGTGGGTTATTCACATCCATGAATCCCAGCTATGACTTGGGGTTCACGGCACGGTACCAGGGTTTATCTCCCCATCCCCTCATCATCTTTCATCATCTTTCGGTCTACATGACATGGGTCTACCGTCATTGGAACTCCCAAAAAGCCCTGCTTCGTATAGCATGGCGTAAAGGCATTGCCATGGGCATCTTGGGCGTGGATGACCTCAGTGGAGACGCACCACTGATGGAAGCCGGGCTGGATTCCCTGTGCCTTGGATTTTGGGTCCAGGGATGAAGTCCGGATTTCAGCATCAAACATGGAACATATGGAACATTTTTTCATGTTTTTCATGAGATTTCACAGGATTTAACAGCCATTTTGCATTAAAAAACTCGTGATTCGGAAGTTCTGCTAGTTATGCATAGATATTATACTTTATAATGTAACTAAGAAACAACACAATGATTTGCAAGGCTTGGCCAAGGCGAGTCAGGCCTCCAAACCTTGATGGCCAATGTCAGGAAATTCATCAATGGATATCACCGGGGTCGGGGCATCTTTCACTGCGATTGCCGGAGGATCATCATGCTGGAGTATATACCAACTTCATCCAGCTTCAATTTGTGGGGTGATTTTGTGACTTGTAGACAAGGTCCATCTTTCCAGATTGCACTATTGTTTTTGGGTGGTCCAACCTCTCATTTTAGCTTCTCACCAACGTATTGTTGATCACATGTTCACGTTTTTGCTCGTTCCTCCTCTTTTTTCCGGCAAAAACCTGTAAGAAAACCCTACACTCATTGGATTGGTTTAAGGAACAATTTACAGGAAACTCCCATCTTTAATGATAAAAACCATGGTTTCCGGTTTCCCTGAAACCAATCCAATGATACACATCAACATTTTTCATATCATTCATATCACCAGGTTTTCCCACCATTATTCAATTATTCATATGGTAAGCCATGGTTTCCTTGGTGAATTGGGATCATTCAAACCATGGTTTTTCTACACATCAGATGATCCCAAAGTCACCAGGTCATCAGTGGACTTCCGCAACTCGGTGGCCAAAGAACTGCCCAGAGTGAAGTGCCTTGGCGAGAGCATTCTGGTGCTTTGAAGTGGACTTTATGCTGAGGAGTTATTCAACATTATTCAACTATGATTTCTGATTTCTGGATTCTGAAAATATACAATAGGAACTTTGGGAAGTAAGCACCCTAATATTACATTCTAATCATTCTAGCATATCCCAATTGATATTGTATCATTAATATCTTAATATATTATTCATCTCAATATTAGCGTCGTACCTGTAGCCCAGGTGCCCTCTGGTCATCAAACATGGCTGAACAAATCATGTCTTCTTTCCAGCACACCAGGTGAATTCGACCTCCACAGGCTGCATTTAATCATCCCTTTATTGGATACATGAACATCGCGAGATGCAAAAAACACATCTTGTTTTTTTTTCTCGAACAAATGCGAATTCAACAGGCTCAGCAAGTTGTTGAAAGAACTTCACTTTCAACCGGGAATAACATGCAATTCTGCCATATTCCGCCGGCCTCACAGGTTGCCCAGCACCTTGATGTTTGACCACCCGACCACGAAAGCGATTGCCACCTTCGCGGCTGAACAACTGGGTACCGTGGTCAGCGACGCTTGGATGAGATGGCGAACATGGCCAGCATTGAAGCTTTGTTGGGTTGCTACCAACAACCATGGAAACAACATGAAACAACATGAAACAACATGAAACAACATCAATCAAACACTTTTAAGGCGAACGAACAGCTTTATTTTGCCAATCTGGCATTCACATCAAAACAGAATATACACAGTATATATACATATGGCCATGGATCAATACCATTCAATACCTATAAATACCATTTTTAGGGGGATGAACATCCATGAATCCCAGCTATTTTGATGTTTTTTGGGGCATTCCATAACGGTTTTGACCCATCCCCATCTACATACCCTCTGGTAAACTAACATAACTATGGAAAATCACCATTTTTAATGGGGAAAACTCACTATAAATGGCCATTTTCAATAGCTATGTTAAATTACCAGAGGGTACATATAGCATGCGTTGCTGGTGAAGACAATCACCACATCCGCTCCAAGGCAATGTCCGACGCTCCCGTGGCGGTGAAGCCTAGAGTCCGTGCCATGGCGGCTGCCCCGGCCGCGGCCGCCGATAGCCGCGCCGCCGTGGCGGTCACGGGGGCGGCGTGTCGCTTCCCGCTGGAGGGAACGACGCCGGCGGAGATGTGGGAACAGCTGGTGGGGAAGACCGAAACTTGGCGGATTATGCTTAGATGATGGTTATATAAATGATTCTAGATTCCGAAAAAAATCTGAAAAAATGACAACATGACCAAGAACTTGGCGGATTTCTATGGAGTCTAGGAATCACGCTTCGATATAACGAATTTATGAATTAATTACATTTAATTACTGTACCCTTTCCACGTGATGACTGTTTGGGGTTGATTCAGCTGGCATTTGATGGATTGCTGTCATGGAGGAGACCACTTTAGCGATGCGATGCCATTGTGGAAATTACGAAGACCTCGAAAAGAGAAGCCTCCACACTTCAGAATCGGTCATGAGAGATACCCTCTGGTAAACTAACGTAGCTATAGAAAGATCCACCATTCTTAATGGGTAAATCCACTATTTCTATGGCCATTTTCAAAAGCTACGTTAGTCATTACCAGAGGGTACAGGGGTTTATGGCCTGATCCCATGTAACATATGTAACTTGCAAGGATGGCATTGTGGAGATTCCATTGGAACGATGGGACGTGGATGCGTACTACGATGAAGATGCTGAGGTCCGGGGCAGTTCGTGAAAAAAATAGGTGCGACTCAAATCCGCAGACTTCAATATCTCTGAATTTGGATCAGGGGAACTCTACAAAAAATGGATATCATTATCCACTAGGGCTAGAACGAACACGTAAACATAACAAAGATCCGGGCATAAAGATGAATATACGTATCTCTCTCTCTCTATATATATACAGTATACACATATATATATACATATATATATACATACATAATATACATATTGACATTGTATATGCTACACATGCTCATCAAAACCTGACCATTGATGTCACTAACCGTCACTGGTGCTAGACTGGAATTTCACCTGGGATGATGTTTCCAGTTTCAAGGGATTAAGCCATTTATCCAAGCACCTAAGCCACTGACCATTTTGATGGATTCTTCAGGAAGCGCTGTTGTAAACATTCCATCACCATTTTGGAAATGCCAGTACTATGGGAAAAGCTTGTGGGAAGTAACTGTGGGACGTCCCATCATTGGGGGTCTAGAAATGCCTGGCCCTCCTGGCTTGGAAAATTCCTGGCTGTTACGGTAAATCATCTGCAAAAAAATGGACTTAACGATGTTTCACCATCCCATTCATCAATGATCTTCCTGAACCCCCGGCGATTTCTTCCAGTTCCTTGGATCTTTCACCCAAAAACGCCATATTTGAATCCGTGCTCCTTCCAGGCTCCTGGCATGATGACGGTGCGCCATGGCGGCTTCATCAAGGATGCGGACCGCTTCGACGCGAGCTTCTTCGGGTTGAGCCCCGCGGAGTCGAAGGTCATGGATCCACAGCAGCGGCTGCTGTTGGAGGTCATCTACCAATCCTTCCACGCCTCAGGGAAGCTGGGCCTACACAAGTGATAAATATTCATACCTTCCAAAACGATTTTGTGCAAAGACTTGCAAAGCCCCATTTTGAAAAGTAAAGTCCTGCTAGAATAGTGATGATAGTGGCTTTTCGGCACTTTTTTTTGATTACTATGTACTATATAATCTCCATATATACAATATATATATATATATAATATTGTTGGGACAGGTGATCTTGGGGTGCCTGTAAAAAAAGCTGCGTGTTGGCTTCCCTGATCTCAGGAAGCCCTGGGGTGCCTTGTCCAACCTTGATGCCAGCGTCTGTGTGGGCCAGTGCAACAACGACTGGGGCCACATGGGCTTCAGCGGTTCCGCGGAGTCCTCCGAGAGGATTGGAGCCTATACTGGGCTGGCGGCTGCTTGGCCAAGTCCAATGTCACCGGTACCGGGCGGTGCGATGAATGGAACGGGGATGAACGGGGAGCGAGTGAACATGAAGTTGTGTTGGATGCATTATATGCATTGGCTCTAGATCCCAAGAAACTGTGCCCTATGTGGCCTGGTGCGATCTGCTGCGACTTTTGGATGACAGGTCTTGAAATATGAGCAGCGCCGCATTAGCCATGTCCATTGCCTTGAAAGAAAGGGATCCCATACCACCTGTTGGCGTCCCCTGCTCAAACCTCAACAATTATCGATTTTGCGATGCATAGGACCGTAGGATCACTCGTTTTTCCCATCGTTTTCCTGGTTCACTCCATGGTCCATCTCCGGATCCGACCCAACTCTACCATCAGCATGTTGGGCTCTTGAGGTTTCAACGTCAATTTCATCCAACCGAGTGTCCTACCTGTTGGGACTCAAGGGTCCGTCCGCCACCGTGGACACTGCCTGCTCATCATCCCTGGTGTCTTTGCCGTGATTGTGGTGTCCAACAATGAGGGAAGAGTGAAGAACTATGGGACCATCTTCAGAAAGCATGAGAATCCAGCTATAGTACCAGCTATTTCTATGGGGTATGTTCTGATGATTTGGAAATGAACATCAAACTTCCCATACCAGCTGTTTGGGTGAATGGAAGGCTACCAGGGCATGCCCAATGCCCCACAGCCGTCAAGTCCACCACCATGAGGATCCATATGGCTATGGACCAAAACCAATGAATACAATATGGTAAACCCAGTAGACCACCACCAATTTCGGTTTATTGGGTATACGATTAGTTGGGATGATTTATAGATATTTATAGTAAGTAGCCCCCTTGTTATGATTTGTTATGATTTCTTGATGGGATGGTTTAGCATGCTGACAGCTGATGCTGACAGCTTTGACCCCCAAATTGACCCCCAAATCTTTAGGTCCTAGCAGATTGGATTACAAGGTCCTGACATGGACATTTATGGATCACTCTGGTTATGGACAACCAGCCCTAAAAACTAGGTAACTAGGCAAATCATCATTTTTATATATTTGTATAATCTATATAAGGCAATGATGGTTATTTATCATATAGAAATACTAAGTATCATGGAAATATCTGGTTATCCATTTACCACCACTTTATATGGATCAGGATGTCAGAATTTGAATGAAACACTGCAGCTGGATGCGCGGCCAGGTGGCAGTGGACATCGTAGTCTCCAACCTTCGACGCGGGCGGTCATCTGCAGGGGCCTCTTCAGGTGGAATTTGCCGTTTTTTTCATGGTGAACTCCGGTTGAAAGACCAAAAACAGCCCTTTGGAACTTATAGGTTTTTTGAGAACAAAACTCCGAACTTTTTTCGATCCTTGTGTTTTGGTACATTCTGATGTCCCTCAATTCTAATCCACATATTTTCTAATGTGAATCATGTGTGGCCTTACTTATGTGCCCCATTTCCTTCGCCGCGGAGGCGTCAATCTCTGTTTGATTCCAGGGCCATTCGTGGCATGCAGCAAGGCACATATGCTCTCAGAGGACGGGTCCACAGATTGTTTCCGTACCTTGTGTGACCTTGGTAATAATTGATCATTGTCCATCAAGGACCCATTATATACATATATATATATATGAGCAGGGACCCCCACACCCCCCCCAACCAGATGGTTCCCCCCCCCCTGTGGCAGGGGAGGGGGGGTTTTCTCAGCAGCCAAGCCGATTGTGAATGTAATATAGAGCGTATGTGTGGTGTATATATATATATATAAACATATATATATATAATATGCAAGATATAAATAGAATATATGCAATATATATATATATTTATAATATATATATATATTATATTTGACATATATATATATTATATTTGACATATATATATATATATTGAACATATATATATATACATCGTATATGTGGATTTTGATAGAATATAGATAGTATATGCCACATGTACTGTATCCACAGTAGATGTAATATATACAATATAGGTAAATATGTTCGTTGACTAAATTTTACATAGTATATGTGGTATATTGAATATCGACAGCAATACACGCTGTATATCTAGAGTTTATGTATATATATATAAATATGTATGTATATATATATGCATATATATATATATACATATATATACATACATGCATATATATATATATATATGTACACACATATATATATATATATACGTGTACAGTATGTACAATGTAAACGAAACATGTGATAGATACAAGATCAAGATATCAATATGTAGTATCTAGATTGTGCATATATCTATCTATCTATATATTTATTTATTGTTTTTCTACTGTACATATGTCTAGGCTTGCATAGGTAAGCTTTGCGTAATCCATAGGTAGCAAATATGTTGTAAACCATGTGCGAGGCACGCGATAGGCGGTTCGAAAAAAAGGTTATGATGGAAATATACAGGTAGACAAGGTCCGTTGACGAGGTCGTGGCTCTCAAGTGCTGCAAATAACGTAGAGATGCGAGGTTGGAGGGGTGGAAAGGGGAGTATATTATATGTGTATATGTGTATGTATATGTGCAAATAACATGCAAAGTGGTCGTGTCGACTAGTTGGACGAAACCAGGTTTGAACGTTTTTGCTGTTGGGGCAGTGTTTTGGCTCATAGGTTTGGATGTCCGGCCCTGCTTGCAATAAGTGTAGGCAGGAAGCAGGACATCTGGGTGACAGCTGGTGCCTGTGCTGCTCAGCAGTTGAGGCATTAAGCGGTGAGCTTCGTGCCAACTGGGGGGGTGCTGGAACTCGGAGGGTGGCTGCTGACATCTTGTCGAGTGCAGTCCGCCAGTTGAGGGCTTTGCGCCGCTTGGGGATCGCTGGGGCCGGTCAAGGCCAGGCCCGGCGAGAGGTTGCTGGCGGAAGCCGTGCCACCACCCCAAGGTGCGAGGTCCCAGAGCCTGAGCACCCCCCTAGGGCTGAGGCAGCACCTGGAACAGGAGAAGGCGCCGTTGGAGGAGTGAAAGAAGAGGACAAGGGTGATCCAGGTGACTTGGAGAGTCAGGAAGAAGAAGAAGAGGAGAGCGACGAGGAGGAAGCAGAGCCTCGTGCGCCGGCTGCTGCGCCGAAGCGCAAGGCTGAAAACGAGGACAGGTCGCCAGTGCCGAGGAGGCGCCTTCAATCTTTGCCACCACCGCCGTCACCCCCACGAGGTGAAAGTCGAGGTGAGCGTGCACGTGAGAGGAGCCGCAGGCGCGACAGGTCAGTTGAGAGGAGAGGTGAAAGGCGTGATAGACGCCGAGAAGAGACAGAGGACGACGACCGACGTCACCCACCTGAAGGAGGAGCAAAGAAAAAGAAAAAGAAGAAGAATAAGAGTCACCGTGCAGGGAGCAAACATCAGCGCCTGTACCGTGCTGAGACCAACCCGTATCAACGGTTGCACTATAAACCTCCTGGTTCCTATTGGGACCAGGGTCCTGCAAGCCTTTAGCAATGGCAAAAGGAACAGGAGACGAAGAGGGAACTCTGCCCTTTGGGTTTCCAAAGGGGCAGAAATAAAATTTGGAACCTTGGCATGGAACTGGCTTACTCCAGTGGTAGGCTCCGTGCTCGAATTCATCAATTGGACTAGGGGCAGAAGATTGGTTTGCCCTTCTTGTGACAGAATGGGCTGGACTTCCGGACGAGATGGGAAGGACAGTCAAAGGACAGTTTTTGGGCGTCGAGAACGAGCTTTACTCAGAAGAGATCCAGGCCGCGGTTGCAGAAGGTGGAGTTCATCTGCGCGGAGAGAGTCCGTGCAGTCTAGGAACAGATGCGACCAAAGTGCACGCTACAATAGTGAGATGTTGGCACCCAGTCAGGTTCGATGCAGACTATATGACTGGGGAAGGAAGAAAGGTTATCAAGAAGGCTGTGGCTGCACTGAAGAAAGAGGCTGCGGAGTTGAAAAAGAAAACGACGAGAGCGCCCCCAAGGAGAAGGGCTGCCACTGGTTCCAGACCGAAGGCAAAGGCCAAGGGTCAAGAGGAGAAGGATGTAACTTGCATCGAATTGGACTCAGAAGGAGATCTAGAGGCAGAGGTTGTGCCTGGGGAGGCTGGTGTGGACCGTGCCACCCTGCGCAAAATGCTGGCATCCACCCGAGAGCGCATTATGGGTGGGGGCATAGGAGTTGGGAACAAGGACGTGCCAGAGGCTGCAGCTGGTGGAAGGAAGCGAAAAGATACCGACTGTGCTCCAGCAAGGAGGGGTCTCATGGCTGGGACTCATTTGGTTCCGGGCCACGGGACCAGGTTGGCCCTCGAAGGATCGGGGGCTACAAAAGATGGAGAGGAGAACAACTGGATGCAGAAGATCAAGAAAGGAGGATCTACGTCAGTGCAGCTGCTTGGCCCAAGCCGTGCAGTCAGCGCAGATTGGAGAGCGACGGAGAAAGAAGAAAGAAAGAGAGAAGAAGGGGCCGATAGATCAGCTTGTGAAGCTTCTGAAAGGAGACAAAGGAGACAAGAAAAAGAAAAAGAAGAGGAAGAGAAAAGATCGGCCGAGGCAAGGAGGAGATGGCCTTCTACGGGTGAAACCCGACCCTGGAGGATCTGGGGGATCGGGTTCAAGCAGTTCAGACAGCGAGAGTTCATCAGCAGCTGGTGGAGGAAAGGAAGGAGATTCAGGGGAGGACTCCGATCTTTCATGCGAGCCTCCCTTGAAAAAGAAGGCCAGCAAAGATCCAGGGAGCGTACTAGCTATGTTGGTGAGGCATGCGCAAGAGCAGCTGGACAAGGGAGCGCTGATGGAGGAAGAAGGAGGCAGGAGCTCAGTTGTGACAGGCATAAAGATTGCCACGTACTTTGGCCTGCTGATCAGGCCATACCATCCTCAAGGGAGTCCTCTTCTCAGGGAATTGTACTCCCTGGCCCAAGCGATAGACCTACTGAGGCAGGGAAGATTACCCGAAGCAGGAGACGCCCTGGCCGCAAGGTTTATTGCGGTCCACACCGCGTTGGGAGAAGGAGGATGGCAGACGGCGTCTCAGCTGGAACTACATCCTCTAGAACCTGTTCAGAGCACCAGCACAGCTACAATGTTGCTGGCGCAGAAACACCGGCGGCTGGTCTTGAAAAGCCAAGGGGTGGCACCGGGCCGCTGGTGGGGAGGAGGTCGAGGAAAAGGTTATGGAGGCCAGGAGAAGGGGAAGAAAGGAGATCCCGGGAAAGGCCGGGGAAAAGGCAAAGGCAAAGGAGGGAAGGAGAGCAGCTGGGGAAACAAAGGAGAGAGCAACCCATGGAAGGAGAACAAAGAAGAGGCGCCGAAGAAGTAGGAGAGAAGGTTGAAAAGGAAGTTTCACTGTTGCATGATGCTGAAGGGCAGAGTCTTGGGCTGGCTAAGGCCGTGCCATCTGCAGTGGTAACCTGGAAAGGTACAGCAATCTTTAAGCAGGTCCTGGGCCGGTGCACTACTCTTGATGAGGTTGGAAGAGCTCTGGCCTGGGTCCTGTTTAACTGTCCAGGTGAGGGTATTACAGATGCTGCAGTTAGGTCGGTTAGTATGGTGGTGCGAGGCCGGCAGAAAGCCGTAGTTGCCATGCACCGGGGTCCTGGCAAACGCCATCGATCCCTGTTTCCAATGCCCCTTGGGACTTTGTCGCATGTGAGAGAACAGGCTCAGCGTTGTGGGCTGGAGGAATTCAGCAACCCGCATTTTGCGGGAATCACAGGAACACAGGTTTGGCAGTCGCTTTCATTAGGAGCTTTGAATGGGTTGGCTGGTTTTGACCGTGCCCCCAGTGGAGGAAGGGGAACAGAAAGACAGAAGAAGGCGGTGGAGAATTTAGGGCATATGGTGCAACATGCACTGAAACAGCCCTTTGTGCTGGACCGGAGCGCTGCGGCAGCAGAAAAAGAACTGAGTGGGCGGTTTTTGACTTACACGGAGGAGGAAGTCCCAAAGATGCAAGTTCTAGGTAAAGAACAAGTGGAAGCTGCTCTTCCTCCAAAAGGTCATGGGGGTTCTATCTCGGCAGTTGACTTGGTTTGTGAGGGGACTAAGCGGTTTTTGTTGCATCCTGAAGAATCCTTGTTGAGTGAACCCATAGGAGGTGAGAAGTTGCAGGCTAAGGTGCATATTGTTCATGATGATCGTAAGTCGCTCTGTGAGCTTTTGGTGGAACGTAATATTTGTGTATGGGTACCAGAAGATGAAGTTCTGCAAGTAGGATCACAGCGCGTCTTGAACGGACTGTTTGCAGTGGGGAAAGGAACTCACCTCTCGAATGGACGAGGGGAAATACAGCGTTTGATCATGAATTTGAAGCCTTCAAACTCAGTATTTCATCAGGTTCAAGGATCTACCGGAGATCTTCCAGCTATCACTCAATATCTGTCGATGTTGGTTTCAGGGTCAGAGCAAGTGGCATTTTTCCAATCTGATATGAGCAGTGCGTTCTATCTTTTTAGGATTCCTGCGGTGTGGTCGCGATATTTGAGTTTTAACATCTGTTTTAAGGGTTCTGATATTGGCTTGCATGGTGATGGATTGTTTTATTTGGGTTGTTCAGTGATTCCGATGGGCTGGAACTCAGCGGTCAGTGTAATGCAAGAAATCGCTGAACGCCTTGCGGTGCTGGGAAGGTTGCCCAGGGAGCATCAAGTGAGACGGCGGGCCCCACTGCCCCCATGGATGGTGGAAACTCTGGAGACTGCGAAGACTCAAGAGCAGACATGGTTTCATGTATATTTGGATAACTTCTGTTGTATGGAAAGAGGCAGTTGTACTTCTGGTTTTTCCCGGGGTGAAAACATGCATGAGATGCTGGAGTCAGCATGGGATCAGCAGGGAGTGGTCTCATCGGCTAAAAAGAAAGTGGTGGCAAGCTTGAAGACACAAGAGCTGGGGGCAGAGTTGGACGGAGCCGCTGGAGTTTTGGGGCCAAGTGTGGAGAGACTGCTCAAGCTAATACAGGTTACCTTAGTAGTACTAAGTAAACCTGTGTTGAGGCGAAAATGGGTACAAGTTATTGCTGGACGATGGGTTCATATCTTGTCGTTCAGAAGACCGGGGATGTCATTCTTTGATGATCTCTGGAAATTTGTTTCGGGAACTGAGAAAGGAGTGAAAATAGAGATGAAGACAAGGGCAGAACTGTTTGGAGTGATGATGGGTGCATTGATGTTGCGAACAAATCTGAGAGCTGAAATTTCATCGGTCACAACGGCCAGTGATGCCTCCATGACAGGTGGAGCTGTAGGGCGCAGTGATGAGCTGACTACGGAAGGTGCTACCTTTGCTAGCATGGATAGAAGGGGCCTGACTACTGGGAAACAAATACCAGTATTGGTGCTGTCATTGTTCAATGGAATAGGGTGTGCTTTCAGATGTTATGACCTGTGTGGGCTGATTCCCGCAGTGGCAATATCTTACGAGACAAATGGCGATGCAAACAGAATTACTTCAAGGCGCTGGCCTGCAGTACGGCAATGTGGGGATGTGAAGACACTGACTGTTGATGAAATGCGATCATGGAGGTATCTGTATCCAGAGATAGTAGAAATACACCTATGGGCAGGATTCCCATGTGTGGACTTGACGGCAGTCAAGTGGGGGCGAATGAATTTGAATGGCGAATCCAGCGGTTTATTTTGGGAAGTTGTTCGAATCCTCAAAGAGCTGAAGCAAATTTTTGGGTTCGACTTTGTGATAAAATATGTCATTGAGAATGTGGCCTCAATGGATCGTTCAGCGGAGCAGGAAATTACTATGACTTTAGGAGTCAAACCTTTGAAATTCGACCCGGCGGATGTCGTGCCCATTCACAGACCTCGCTTTTGTTGGAGCAACCTGGTTGTGGAACCGATGGACCATGTTTATTTGGAAGAAAAAGAGCACTGGATTGAAGTTCACATGGAACATGAGTACCCCCGAGAAGAGCAATGGCTCTCACCGGGGGCTGTTTGGCCAGGAGGTGCTTGGGGTACAGTGTTACCAACAGCAATGAGAGCAATCCGTCGTACACGGCCGCCACCTAAGCCGGCAGGATTGGAAAGAGCATCCCAAGATGCGATCTGGCGATGGGAGGCAGATGAATTTCGATTCCCTCCCTATCAATATGCTGACCAATTTGTTATTTGGGTGGAAAACAGGTGGCGGCTGGTGGATGCAAGTGAAAGAGAACTGTTGCATGGACTCGGGTTCGGTCATACAAGTTTATGTTGGAATGCTGGTAAAATTAAGGGAGATCCTAGGGGTTTTGAAGATGTGAGGAAAAGTTTGATTGGAGACGGATTCAACTGTTTTTCTTTTGCGTATGTGGCAGCGCTGGTGACATGGAAGTTCCATACCATTGGTGATTATTCCTTGCTTTGGGATAGAATGGGGATGGCACCGGGTTTTTGTTGTCCGGTTAACATCAAGTGCACTTTGGGAAGATCTTTGCAATATGGGGAACTTCTGGGTCAGCAACACATTCAAGATCTTCATCGATGTTTGTTGAGAAGGACTAATCACACGGGATCCGACATAAGAATCACAACTGGGACGGTAATGAATCCTCGATGTTTTCCGCGGCAAAGCGTGGCTGCAGACTGGTGGCAGTGGCAGAAGGTGTTCGCTTATAGATGGGGTAAACAAGAACATATCAATAGCTTGGAGTTGCGTGCAATTCTCCACAGTGTGGAATGTCGCATTAACCATTTGAAAGAATGTGTTGTTCGGGTTTTTCATTTGACTGACTCGTATATTTGTATGAGTGTGATAGGAAAAGGTAGGTCATCATCGCAGATGCTACAGCCTCTTCTTAAACGACTTGCCGCGTTGCTCATGGCATATGACTTGTACCTCTGCACTTGCCATGTCGAAAGTCTCGACAATCCCACTGATAAAGCGAGTCGAGACTGATGAAGCGCAAGGAGGCTAATTTTTGGCCAGGGCAGGCTTCTCAGGCTGATAGGCGTCGAGCCAGAGAAAATATTTGCCTCACTGATGTGGGTGTGACAGAAGGGACGTTACAAAGGTACTACTATGCAGTTAGCCGTTTGGCACCAATCTTGGAAGTGGTGAATACTGAGTTTGAGCTGGACACAGAGATTGCAGAGTGGATTCAACAGGAGTTTGAGGATGGCTGTCCCCTACATTTAGTAGGGGACGCGCTATCTGGGCTGCACCATCTGGACCCTTGTACGCGAAAGAAAATCCCGCGCAGCTGGCGCCTTTACGGAATTTGGAGGAAATTTGAAGTCCCATGCAGGGCACCTCCCATTCCTCAGGACATATGCCTGGCCATGGCGGGTTGGTGTATACAGCGAGGTGAGCTGGTCATGGCCGGGCTTATCTTACTAGGCTTTCATGCCTTACTACGTACAGGTGAGCTGCTTCAGGTGCGACCGTGTGACTTCATAATGGGAGAAACACACGGTTTAGTTTCTCTTCCTTCAAGCAAAAGTGGTGTGAGGAATAATGTGCGGGAGAGTGTCAGTTTGCATGACCCATGTACAGTGGAAACAGTGCGTGCAATGATCCAGCTGCAAAGTGAACGACAGCTGGACAAAGTTCCGTGCTGGGTTCATAGTGGCACCTCTTTCAGGACGCTCTTTAAGAAGATCTTGTCCGAACTGCAGGTGGAAGACTTGGGTTTCAGACCGTACTCGCTTAGGCGGGGCGGAGCTACTTTTGAGATGGCTTCACATGGCCTGATGGAGAAAACTCTCATTCGTGGGAGGTGGAAAAATAGCAACATTGCTCGAATTTATATCTCTGATGGTCTCTCGCGCCTTCCTAGTTTGAAGATGACCTGGGAGGCAAAATTTAAAGTTGCTAAGTTTTCGTCGGTATTTACCAACGAGCAGCAGAGTTTTTCTGCTGGGAAGCGTGGAGGCAAGCGTATGAGATCCCCGAGAAGGTGATTTTTATTTGTTTTGATCCTGCTTTGGATCAGGCCGAGCCTTTCCTCCCTTTTAAAAGGGGGTGGCTGGTGTGTCATGCTCTGCTTTGAGCAAGAGAAAAGTTGAAGCCCTGCTTTGGGCATGGTTAACTAAGGAATTAAAGAGTTTCAATGGTACCATGACGTCAAATCTGATGTCATGGATTGCACTACCAACGTGCATGGCAAAAAGGTGAGTCCGCAGCTTGAGTCCAAAGTGGTCGTGTCGACTAGTTGGACGAAACCAGGTTTGAACGTTTTTGCTGTTGGGGCAGTGTTTTGGCTCCCACAACCACCCTCCCAAGGGGCCGGAAGCAAGCGTATGAGATCCCCGAGAAGGTGATTTTTATTTGTTTTGATCCTGCTTTGGATCAGGCCGAGCCTTTCCTCCCTTTTAAAAGGGGGTGGCTGGTGTGTCATGCTCTGCTTTGAGCAAGAGAAAAGTTGAAGCCCTGCTTTGGGCATGGTTAACTAAGGAATTAAAGAGTTTCAATGGTACCATGACGTCAAATCTGATGTCATGGATTGCACTACCAACGTGCATGGCAAAAAGGTGAGTCCGCAGCTTGAGTCCAAATACTAGGTTTTGGGGGGTGGGGGGTTTAGGAGTGGGGGGGGATACCATTGGGGGGGGTGTGGGGGTCCGAGGACCGGGCTCATATATATACATCAAGAAATTCAACACCAGATATTAGGATTTATACCGTATACCAACTATCTGTTTACCATACGTATAGAACGATTTATGTTTAAAACAATCTCTTTTTGTGGTTCTTTATAAATTGCCACACAACAAAGGACGGCCGCTGCAAGACCTTTGATGCCTCGGCCAACGGCTACGTGCGCGGCGAAGGCTGCGGCTCCGCCATTCTGACGCTTCTGGAGCCCGGGCGACGAGTGGGGGGAGGTCGGCATGAAATAACGACCATTGGGGAATTTCATGAAGGTTAAGGTAACGGTTAAAGCGACAAAACTTGGGGATTTAAGGTGGAATTGGGGATTTGATTTAAGCAGCAGGTAGTTGTTTAATGGGGATTCAAGCATCATGTGTAGGGTTTTTAAGCATCAACGATGGGGTACTAGCATGCGGTACACCCCAATTTTTGAGCAGTTTCAAAAAACTTAGCATTGGTTGATGACTAGTTTGGAGGTTAGACTACTCATTCAATATGCGGTACTATCAGAATCATCAGTATGGGTCATCATGGGTATGTATCAACACCATTGGCGTCCTGGGTAACATCAAAATAGCTACCTTCACACCCCGACCATGGTACAGTACTATAGATTCTAACCCACCACCACATGGGGTACCTCCAGGAAAAGTCAACCCTGGATTCATAAACCCTGCGAAGGAGGGGGATAGTCCCCAAGCAGTCATAAATGGCTACCAAGATGGTACCCCCTCTAAGTGGTTGCCATGCCCATTTCTGACTGTGTCTTTTGTTGATCCAATAGTTTGCCATGGAAAATGGCTCAGTTATAGATGATTTACCTATTCAAAAATGGTGAATTTAGATCTTCCATAGCAAACTTTTCAATGACCAGAGGGTAGCCCGTTTCATTGGGGATTCCAACCTCCAGACACTCTGAGGATGATGCTCCCAAGTCCATCATCAAATTGAAGGGAACGGCCGTGAACCAGGACAGCTGAAAGCGGGGTAAACATGGGTACTGCATGGTACTGCAAGCCCCGGACTAATAGACCCTGGTTGATTAATTAGGGGGTTCTATCCAAATCGTGATAGTTTGCTGCTAGAATTGGTACCTTCCCCCAATTAAACAGCCACAGGGATGATAAAAATCGGAGGTTGACATGGTGCCAGGATGGCCGCAGTTCCTCCCAAACGGCACCGCATGGACCTTCACAGCAGGCCACGCGATGTTGGGACGTACGAGGGGAGAATCTTGTTGAAGGGTGGATGAATGGACTAGTAGTTTGTTGTAACGGGGAAAATAAGACTGGCCAAAAATTAAGTTCTTTTCCAAAGTACTAGACATTTGCATACATTTGCATACATTAACCCTGATGAAAGGCAGCTCATGAAATTTAGAACGGTTCCAGTCTAGGTTCCCGACTAAGATACCCTTTAAACAAAAGGCAAGATTGCTACCATACATTGACACATTTCTCGGAGTCAGTTGTATTTCCAGTCTGTCTTAGATTGACCAATGAATTCACGGTTCCAGAATGTTCCAGATATGATGCCTGCCACCCATCTGGAAAAAGCATTAGCTGTGAATCGACCCTTTGTTCGTAGTCATAGTGAGATTCTTGGGAGAGGAGAGCCTTCTTTCAAGGTCTGTAGTGTTTAGAGTCCCTGATGCCCATGGCTACACGAACATTTTTTCTGAAAATAGTGTACTCCATTCCATCCACTAGCTTATCATCATTTTCCCATTATTTTCTAGCCATAAATGTGATATCCCATATTATGTAGTTCTGCTATATACCCATAAAATAGACTTATCCAGCTTTGTACAACATATATAAATCATATAGTTATACACCCATAAAATGGTATGATGCAGTTTTATACATCCGTCAAGTGGCATCATTCCACAGCATTTATACAAATATGGTTCATACATATTCATACCTTATTCAATATCTTTATATCCCATAGGTATATATATATAGTTCTGTTCTATAGCAACAAAATGGTATGATAATTCTTTACACACCCATCACATGGTATTAAATTATAACTATATCAGTCAATTTTATGACAGCATCCAAGATTTATATCCAGAATATTTTTTCTAATCACATGAGCCATTAAAAAAACCATGGTTAATTGATTGCTATAGGGGATTGTACTACCTGGTTTACTGGGGATTATGATAACCCATAATGGGGACACCTATCAACCAACTAGTATAATGAGATGGGATAGGGGTATGTTCAATGGCTCACATATGCACACCCCATTACACCATATTTCACCATATTTCACCATATTACAGCATTTTTTCATGGATAATCACACCATATCCCATATTCCATAACCATAATATTAGCCATGGGATATATTTACACCAGATTGATCCATATATTTCATCACCATTTGAATGTCCCATTAAAATTTTAATCCCATATAATCCCACATATATATATTATTATATATGTAATCCCATATAATCCCCTAAAATCAGGGAAAATCCCATTAAAATCCTATTAAAATCAACTCCTTGGATCCTCCAAGGGTTGCTGCCACACACCGCACGGCGAGGCGGTGATTTTGACGGCCCTGAGCGAAGCCGCGCTGGAGCCCTCGACGGCCAGTGCCATGGAGACGCACGGCACCGGCACCGTGGCGTGGCCGCGGCACCGGTGGACGTCGCCACGGACGTTAGCCACGGAGGATTGGAATATGAATTAATACTGTATATACATATATACATTGTATATATATATATACATAATAATTATATATATATATACACATTGTATATACATACATGAAATGTACGTCTATGTGTAGATAGATGGGAAAAATATGGTAAAATGGGGGTTTCAGGGCGTGTATGTTGGTATGTTGCTTGTTATGATTTTGTGTTGGGGTTCAATGTTTCATCCTTGGTTTTGATGATTTTTCAGGTGGGATTTTGGGGGTCATTTTGATGCTAAAGTGATGTGTCAATGTTTGGTTCAGATGAGGGTAGGATTTGTTTAGGCTGTTGGGGTTTGTGTTTTGGTTCAGATGAGGGAGATACTGTGGATAGTGTACTTGTGGTTGTCGTTTTTTATTGTCAAGGTATGTCTTGTCTTTTTTTGGGTATGATTTTATTGTGTTTCCTTATCATCAGTTTCAAGACAGAACATTCAACTTGATATCTTTCAAAAGGTTCCATGTCTTTCAACATCTTTCATTTTTTATTCTCTCATTCTCGTCTTTTTTGGTGGCGTTTTTTCTTGGTTGTGTTTTGATTTGAACGTCTTTCGCTTCGCCTCATTTTTTGCGGACTTCTTCATGGACTTTCTGGATTTCGTCGGGGGCGCCCAGATGAGATGTGCGCGCTGTTTCGTTTGCATGGAAGCATCACTTTTGAGGACATATTGCGTTTCTTGAGGCACTATGTACACTCTATGTACACATTGTGGCATTACACTACACCCAGAGATGTTGATTGCTTTCTCCCGCAGCAGACAGGCTCACAAATGCTCACAAGATAAGATGAGTTCTACTTGCGGCATGTGTTGCACTATGAACAAGTCAACGCATCAAGAAATCGTAAAGTGCTTGAGCTCCAGCACAGTCCCAGTTCTGGAGATTTCCGCCATGGGTATGTCGCGTTGCCTCATTGCCCGATGTTGTGGTTTTCGGCTTCTCATGTCAGGCCGACGAAACCACCGTTGCTTCTCAAACAACGCTCCAGAGAAGGAGCCGACCACGAAACAGCAGATTGGAAAGTGGTTGGTTGGTGGTGGTGGCTCGTTGGCCATCGTGACCTTTGGATGGGATATCGTCAAGAACAAGAACGGCATCGTCAAGAACAAGAACGGCATCGTCAAGAACAAGAACGGCATCGTCAAGAACAAGAGCGAGTGAAGAATATCATTGTGAATGCCTCTTTCAAAGCACGCGAGCCACGTGTCAAGATTGAACGGAAGATAATCAAGGCGTCCAAGCACCACCTTTTTTTTGTTGTGTTTGTCCCTGCGTTTCTTGACAGAAGGGATTTGTTCTTGAGATAGGTGTTATTTCATGTCATACTGACATTTTGAATTTGATGCACTATGCTCACTATGCACTGTGGCAGGACGAAATGCACCAGTTGTTGGACTTGGACGACCCCCGCCCAATCCTCATCTGGGGGAACCATGAAGTTGGCAAGAGCACCATCCTTTGGGAAGTGTTGCAGGAGAAACAGTGGAACAATGGAGTGCTCCACATCAAGCTCACGCAGAACAATCACTTGGCCACGGAAAAGGTGATGAGCGCGTTGGCAGTGCTCCATGAAGAGGAGGTGGTGCGTGGTTTGAGAGGTGCCAAGACAAGAATGGGACGAAAACCCATCATCATCCTTGAAGTTCCTCGTGGTGTCTTCGAGCCATCTGTGATGAGCAGCGTCTCCGCCTTTGCGAAGTCATGGGGCTTTGATGACGAGGTTGCCAAAGTGCTGGTGATGGTCAGTTCTGCAGTGTCAGCCATGGCTTTTGACGCAGACGGTCGTGAGCGCCGATTCTTCGTTCCACCACTGACGAGTGAAGAGCTCTCGCAGAAGGAGGCCATAATGAAGAGCTTCAGTTCATGTGGTAATTGTTCAGTCACCTTCAATCACTTTAGTGCTTTTTGTTGGTGCTACTTCTGGCATGGGTTGGGATGTTTGCAGATGGACGTCTCCTTGTCAGGTTGAGGAATTCCTACGTCATCATGGCGGTGAAGAGGCCTCCACGCACAAGAGCGACATGATTCAACTCACAGGTGGCAACATCGGTGTAATGGAGGACAAGGGTCATGAAACCATGGGACAACAACCCGAAACATCAACGAACCGTGAAACCTTGAAACTTGCCCACATCTCCTGCAGGACGTGGCGCAAAATGCCAAAGAGACATCGTGGGAAGAAGCAAAGTCCAAACGGCTTACGGTGCAAAGAAGTCAGGTCCAGAACTTCTTGGGCATTGACAACCAAGGTGGCTTTGGCCCAAAAGAGGTTAGGATGGCACGCACCTTGGCCAAGGCCGTGGCGCAGAGCTCCTTCGAGCAGTGTGTTGATGCTGAGAGGTTCAGGGAGCACTTCACGCCTGCGGACGTGGCGAGAGCGGTGCGGAACCGAAGCGCTCATTGCATCTATGTGGATGCGCGGGCAGAGGAGCGACGCTACTGCGCAGTGTCCCGCAAAGTGCATGACCTTTTGAAGAAGGTCTGAAGGCGGAAGTGGCAGTGGCGTGTGAATGAGAGTGCTTTGTTCCTTGTAGGACCAGTAGGACTTTTGGATTGCAG